ACCAACACAAAGCAGGGGGGTTCTCTCTGTCTCATACCTTTCTGCATATGCTTCTTTGGCCAAAGAATTTTATAGGAACACTGCATGAAATTTACAGCGGCATGTAAAATCCATTTGAAAAAAAAAAATGAAAGCAAAAAGTTAAAGTAAAGCTACCATGTAATTTGACATTTATAAGCACGTATTGTGTGGTTCAGAAAACTGTGAGTGTGAATCAATCTACCTGAACATTTAACTTGCTGAACAATAAACTCTGTTCCGCTGCTTTGTAAAGTAGGGTCCCAGAAAGGCTCACAACAACCCCAGTGCACTCCCACATGCTGCAAGCTGTTACATTGTATTAGGCTCCACCTGATGTGCCCCTGCACTGTCGATGACGTCAAAGCTCTGTCCCCCACAAACCGGAAGTCTGGACAGTCATTGCCATCATGAAACGTATAGTTGGTGCACTTGTCGCGAGCCCCGACGCGTCGCGTTGAATAAAGTCTGAGAAAACTGCAGAGGCCTGATGATAACTAATGTAGGGGCAAAGTAAGGAAAACCAGCGCTCACCGGTTTGCCAAGGTTAGCAAGCCGGTGAGCACTGGTTAGCAAACCGGTGGGCACTGTTTTTCGTACTTTGCCTCTACGTTACTATATACATGCGTTGATATACAATACATATACATGTGCATGTAGTATGTACGCACCCATACTCACCCCACACCCAGCCCCGGTCCTAGTCCATGGGGGTTCGTCATGGTCAAGTGTTCTAGGGGTGACTACGTGTCTTTGCCCCTAGCCCCCCCCCTTCAACCAAAATTCAAAATGTACCCAACTATTTACAAGACATAGTTAATTTCTTCAGGGAGTTGGGTTTAAGTAAGATTTGAAGCTTTGCATGGTGGGAATTTTTGTGGCATGCGTATTTATCAGCAGCCCTTTAAATACTTGAAAAAAGGTGTGCTCCGGGTGTCCCCCTCCGAATTTTCACCTTGGTGAAACAAACCAACCGAGTAGGATGCAGAAATATTGATTTTTTTCTAATCCTAAAAATACGTGAAAGGGAAGCAACGCGCAGCTAGCTTAGTTCAAGAAGTGCGGAAAACAATGAAAGCTGCGGATGGAATTCGTCAACTACCCGTTTTTATATATTCTAATCCAGGCCAACGCATACAGCTCAGGCGCGGTACGCCGTTCGGTATGCACAGTGCATATTATACGCAGCTGTGAATGGTAACAGTGAGCGTACAGTACATACAGTGTAGTGAACATACTATACCACAGGAGTAACACACGATAAGAGAAGCGCACGGTGTTCTGTCGCAGTTTGTCCACAGTTTTCTCACCTCTCATTCGATGGTTCAGTTATGAGACACAGTCATTGAAATCAGTAAGTATAATCCTGGTATGTAGCTAAATTCAGGGTTTTGTATTGTGTTTAAACTGACGGTTTTCCGCAAGCGATATTGGTTCCACCATGGATGGGTCCGCCGTTCACGCCACCGCTCACGGACATCGTGTTGTCCGCTGCTACATACACACGTACATGTATGCTGTCAACACGGCGGTGGCGTACGTGATAGGGGGGCATTCCTCCAGCAAGATTGTGGCCCGTGCTTATGTGTAACCAGTGATGCATCGTGGTCGATGTAATTCGTGGAAGCAGACGATGACTTGATCGGTTTGTACGAAAGGCCTGGAGGGAGGATGGCATGATGTGGATTCGGAAACAAGAAAATTGCTTTGTATAAGCACCAGGCTTAGTTATTTTGGAAAGAGTACCCAGTTACTGTTTAATATGGACAGCACTAATTTTCCCTTAAAATGTTAAAACAGTCAAAAGTGATCACATGTCCCGAAGAGTAAAATTTAGCTGAGAAAATTCCAAAGCATTTACTCGGAAAACACGAAGGTTTTTCAGACAAGTCTTGTACTATAGTTGTGTACAGGGGCATCAAATGTTGTCAGTGTATGGAACTCTTTCTGTCATTTTTGCAGCATTCAGGAAATTCATCTTGATGTCATAGGGGAAGTCAGGTTGGTGTAGTGGCTCTGTTTCATACTTTCCACCTCTGTAGTGTAACCCGGGGTCGAATCCCACCTAGGTCAGCATGTGGATTGGGTTTTCAGTTGCTGCCAGATTCCATGGGTTTCTCCTGAAATGTTTATCCAGGGTTTTCCACTCACTTCCAAAACTGAACATTGCTTCATTGTCTGCTTAATTATTACTTCATCCTGTTATTGGAGCTAAATGCACTGTTGCATGAATAGATATACATGTACATGTATAAATCACCAACACAAGGTTCCTCAGGACGCTGCATTATTCCTGAAAGCAAGCAGGGATGAAATGCTGAAGACAAAGACACAAGTTTGGCACAGTCTGTGAATGTCTTGAACTTTAATGTCCACACAGGTCAAATTGCAAGAGGGGCTGAGAAGGTTGTCACAAAGAATGCGTATACAAGTGGTGCACTTTGTTTTTACAGTACATGTATTCGGTTCGCATAGGTCTGTGAAAATTTCTAAAGTTTGTCCAAAAAACACATAAATTTTGGCCTATTGATAATACATGTAGACGGAGCACGCAACCAACAAAGTACTTGTACATGTACTTTGAAAGTCTTAAATTGTTAAATACAAATCGTCAAAGTCAAAAGATTGTATAAGGTTTGCAAAAGTGAGTTTAGAACTGATCTACAGTACATGTACATGTAGGTTCTCTTAACCCTAACCTTCCCCAACCACACAGAATTAAACAGTAGTTAAGTGTTTAATTCTGTGGGGATAGGTCTGGTAGGCCCGTAACAGCTGGCTTTTGCATTGGCTTTGGCATACCTCAGAAAAACAAAGTCCAACAGCCTCTGTGCACCAAGTCCCTTATGGGTGTTTAACTTTGTGTGAATGGTGAAGGTTAGGTCCAGCAACCCTTGGGCAGTTAGGGTTAAAAAGTACATTTTAGGGAGATAAACGGAGGTGTCCCAAAGTGCAGTATTTCCTTGTAATATATGGTGATTTTGTTGCATCAGTAACTTACATTTACATGTACATACGTGTACATTTTTGACTTTTTATGCTATGGGCCTTGAAAGACATGAGTTTGCCCTTGGACAGTTAGAACCTTGCCACCGCTGTGAGTTTTGTCTGGAAGCCTCAACGAAGACTAAACATTTCTCGGGAACTTATCATTTGAGTAAATTATACCCATGATAACTTCATTTTTGTTCTGATGATGCACAAGAATATTGTTTTTCCAAATAGTGTGTTTGCAAAAAATGAATTGGTGATATCTAAACTGGCATTTACTAGTAGACAGGGATCGCTTAACAGTTGTGCAAAACTAGAGTTGGCATCTTGACTGTCGTACATGTGTGTATGTGTATGTGTACCGGACATGTTAATAAAATATGTACTGTACACTCTTCATGTACCACCAGTTAATGAATGCAGATGCAAAACATCACATCCGAAGGTGAAATAAACATAAAGAACAGCACCAATCTTATGAAGAAGTCTTTTTGTTCTTTGTAATTGGAATGAATTTCTCTCTCATGCCGGATACAAATTTATCAGTACTTGTACTAGCATCTGCGCATTGGGCTGGATTTAGTGTTCTGTTGGCCTTATGCAAGGAGACCTTGTACTCGACATAAACCTCTCAATTTTGCTTGACATTTGAGGGTCCCAGGATGTATATCAAAGGCACTAGCCACTTTGCCTATTAGATAATCTAATGGTGTATACGCCAGTGCCGGAATTCCAGAGCGCAGGGTAATTTGCTGTCTTGAATGTAGACAAGTCCAGGTTTTGATGGGTTCTTGTTTTTCTTCAGTGCGAACAGGAAGAGCTGACCAGACCTGACCCACCTTGAGTACCGAGTATGCGGATAGCATCACTAGGGAGCAGCGAGTCCAAAGCAGATCAGTCCGATCAGGTCCCCCCCAAGCGCACCCGGAAGCGGCGCCACCTCCGGTCCAGCCCGCCTTCCCGGTCCAGCACCAGTACTAGCGGCAGCAGCGGCAGTAGCGGCAGCAGCAGTGGTACCAGCGCCGGCAGTCATCAAACTGTTCACGATGACGTACTGGTCCCGCTGGTAGGCTGTGCTGAGCTCCACCATCAGGTGGCTTCCAGTTGTCCCGTGCGGGGGCCCGGATGCGATACAGAGACTGCCTTCACTTTGTCCTTGTCGCCCCAGCCCCCATCCTCAGCTGCAGCAAGGTCATCGTCCTCGTCCATAGTGGGCGTGACCACTCTGAACTATTGCGGGTCGCCGACTGGTTTGCTGTCACAGCGGAACTCTCCCGTGGACCGGACTCACTCCCCAGGGTACGATTTCAGGGAAACAACTGCCAGGCGGAGAAACTATCTTGGTAAATACATACATGTAATTTCTGTAATCTTTTTCCTCTAAAATTTTTGGAATAAACACAAGTTTAGAATTTATGGCAGGGTTGTGGTCACACGGTGAATGTTTACTAACTTTGGGTGTAATCTGGAACAAGTGGCAAGAAGCAAAATTGTCTTCAGTACTGCATAACATAGTACATGGAGCCAAAACGTACCCTAGTGGGGTTTTTTCTAGATGCACTAGATATTTCCAAGCCACATTCACCACTTTTGGACATGACCTTGGACGTTGAAATACCTTGAATACGTTGAAATATGTTCATGGAGATGTTTTGTCCAAGTGCAAAAAAAATGCATCTTTCAATGTAGCACTGAATTTGATATTGATGGATTCAGCAAGGTAAATGCCTCGGGTTTGATCTTCCAACTCAATGGAGATGACTATTGTATTGCTTAACTCAAAGGAATGGTACATGTACATTTTCATACTCTGCTGTACATGCACGTCTGTAACGTGTAACAAGTGGTTTTTCTGAGTGCCTTGGAGATACCATACATTGTAGCATTCCTCTGGAAACCTTTGGCAAAGTTACCGGTATCTGTCAGTCTACTAAATTTGTTTATTGAGTCTATTAATTTTGTTTATTGGCTTTTGCGTTTCACTTTACTGTCCTCTTATGAAGGAAATATTTGTGTACACTTGTTCATGCTCTTTTGAGGAGGGAGGGAGATTTTTAGGTTTTACTGTCAATATTTGACCCCAAGGTGAGTCACTGTCGGCTGGTTTGCCTTCCTGTCTTTTGCCTTTGCCTCTCAAACTCAATCAAACCCAACTGATAACCTTTTGAAATGGTTCATATTTCATGTACATGTATATCTATATCCAATCTTGCAAAGAGGAGGGGAAAAATCAGAGTGGGTGTAAATGGAGAAAATTCTGAGGTCTGTACATATTTGGATAAGTTTACAACTGTGCTGACGCGGTGCTGGTCTGCATTGTGTGGTGGTGCTCTTTACAGAAATATGGCGCCCCCCCAAAAGAAAACTCCTTTAATTTGATAGAAAATTTACTGCCAAAGTCAATGATCTCTGTTTATTGTTTGTATTATTTTCAAGTTGTTTGAGAAGTGTAGAAATGAAACCTGTCCCTACTTCAGCCATTTTTTCTGAGCTCCTGAATCCTGCCAAGATCCAGTGCCCTGCTTTAACTGCTGATTTGGGGCTTTGTTGCCTCATGGTCAGAAAGATGAGTGACAGGGCTCAACTATCCAGAATTTGGCCAAAGATTGCAAAACAAGGTGATTGGCTCTAGAAGGTTTTGGAGGTGTATAAATATGAACCTAACAGTTACAGGGCCAGGTATCGGTATTACATACCGATATACAATGTACATGATAACTATCGTTTTTCTATTTGGGATTTGATTTCAACTCTTTTTGTCTTGAAATTTTAACGTTAACTTGGCTCATAAATCTGTGGAGTCTGCGCTTGACATTTTCTGTTGCAAGCTTTGAATGCTGTCTGGAGAGCGTAGGATAACATACAGTACCGTATACACATAAACTACTCTATTTCTTCACTGTGAACATTGATCATAACAGAGATACAGGTACCTTGGGAATCTAAAGACTGAAATTTTGACATTTCCAGGAGTGTTTGTCAGCCCTGTGCTTTGGAGGTCTTTTGTTCTCTGGGGTTGAATATGACAGTGCTCTTATTAGCGTACACGTATGTGCCGTAACACTAATGATGTAGCCATGAAAGCGACACGCATAACCTTTCAAACATTCGACCGTTTTACTCCAAACATGCGTATGTGTACACATGTAGTAAAAGTTCACAGTTTCAAAAGTAGAAAAGTTGGGCTCGTGTCTCATTTCCTGCCAAGGTTGTTTTCAACCTGATCAAGAATAGGTTGACATTAGGCATGAAGCAAAAAAAAAAAACACCGCGTAAAAAAGAGAAAGACGACAAACCCTTTGCGCTGTTCTCCTTATGTACAAATGCGCACTTGTGTCTATCCAAGGATTTTAATGACATTCCAGATTTGTATACAAATAGGATTACGGAACATTTATTTTTTATGTACATGCATATACATGTGCAAAATGTATGCCATTATTTCTTGAAGACCTACTGTGTACATGTATCACCTAATTTAACATGGCAAGTCAGAAATTGTCAGCGCAACTTCTGAGTTATAGGGAGAAAAACAAATGGCCCCCAAAAATAAAAATCTGGTGCTGTTTGTTGTTTTGTTATTTTGTTGTTGTTTTTAAATGAAGCTCAAGCTCTTGAGATTGATTTCGCTGGATCTTTTAGGATTGTCCATTGCATTCACACTGCGAGTCACCACACTAACTAAAATGTGTATGAAATGGCCCATTAGTGTTTAGTCCATTTGACATGATATTGACACTGACAGGCAAAGGAAGTGGAAAAGGTAGAATACATGCAGCAGTAGGTTGTCAGCAGCCCCCACCTCCCCTCCACAGAAACTCAAAAATGTCCAGCAGACTTTGGATCCTAACCAGTGCTTCCCTTTTGAGCTGGAAATCCGGGAGACTGTTGAGTTGGTTGGCATTTTCTTCATGCCTCAAATTGAAAATCCAGGAAAACCTGGTATTACGTGTACCTGAAGTTCAATGCTTTCTCTACCTGTGCGTGTTCACATTGCTAGCAGGTTGTACATTACATGTACAGTCCATTCTCTGTATGAAGAAGACTGTTCTAACAAGATTCAGTACTGTTATAAAACGCAAATTCTGCAAATCCTAGTTTCTTGAATTGTTATGTTCTTCTTTGTGTTTCCAATCCTTTTATAACAAACTTCTGGTATTTACAAAACAATTACAGTAGTCTGGTCCCTGCAACTTTATTAATATTATGAGTGTTGACAGTACACGGATGTGCAGTTGTAAGACATTATCATTGTCTCCATGATGGGAGTATACATGTACATTGTACATACAGTACATATACATGTAGGTTGGGAAAAGGCTGATTGCTTTTCCTTACTTTTTCCTTCCTTTGGGGAAAGATGCAGATCCCAGAAGGTACACAAACAATTTAATTTTTTTTTATTTACTTATTTGTTTTCCAGCTTAAAATGTACGTGTACATGAAAATTTGTTTACATTGACAGTTACATTGTTAGACTTGGTTCTCCAAATTGAGCTGTGTACATGTACGTAGCCTTTTCACTGGGGGCAGAATTTTTATGTACCAGGCCCATAGCTGTCAATTTCTGACATTATTTTAGCAAGATTCTAGAGTGCAGTGTAGCCTGTCTGAGTGGATTAAATGGAATAAACAAAAATTATAAATTAATACATGTCAATGTACAGTACAGCTGGTGTGCAAAAAAATGGAAAGATCTGGTGCAGAAGTCATATTAAATTGTGTAGGGCTACGAATTCTGTTTCTGAATCAGCATAAATTAAAATGTGTTTATGGCAAATGGCTTACAGCTGCTAACTATTGGCTTTCATAGGCACATGCTACGTACTTCCAGCTACATGTACCTGTATGGCTACATGTACATCACATTTGGACATGGCCTTTTCAAAAAAATGGTCACATGGTTTAGTGTATTTAGAAATGTGGGAGAGCCTGTTCCCCGATCTCAATCACTGAATGCCATTGAAAGAAGTGCTGTGTTTTTTCCACCTGGTTTTGAGAAAAGTACAAGCAACCCTGACACTTATCAGTCAGGCTAAGGTGGAAATCTTCAATAGTACAAAGAACCATTCTTGCCGATGACTTCACATCGTCTGTGCAGGTTTTGGGAGTTGGGTTTTGTTACTCATTAGGATTTGTGAAGCATCCTGTGACAGTATGAGGCAGATGCAATGCCAGCTTTGATCACCAGGTGACATGGCAGCCATACGGGAGGTGACTTGACCAAACAATTCTGTGTGACTGCATAGTTGGGCTTTTGTTGTTATAGTGGCAACCTAGAAAATAAAAAAACAGGGAGGACATCTGCAATTTATAATCGCTCGTTAGATATTTTTTTTGCTTAAACTACCGGTAACCAACAGATTTTTGTTAACAGACGAACAGACTACATTGTGCCACATGCATACTGTAGTCCACTACAGATGCACCTTTCAGACATTGAAGAAGGATCCGCCAAAGTTAGCACGGGTTATTGGGAGTACCACACCGGTACGTACAACATCAGTGGATTATCAAGGAATTGAAAAGTGTAGTAACTTAATGCAGAGGAACTTGGAGTTGACCAAGGAAAGCAATGTACATGTACATGTAGATTTTAGGCAGTGCATCCTGCTAATGGTTGAAAACTGGTGGACTAGAAGTTTGGTTTCCTTTTCTTGAGGGAGGGGTGTTCAATATCAGTTTGCATACATTTGTTCTCGTGGTGCTTTTGTGTACGTACCAGTACATGTACTACTGTACTGTATGTAGAAAACAAGATTTTTTGTATCTTCTGCTACAAGTTCTTAAAGTTGTTTCATGCTTGGCGCGAGAGTGAACATGAACTTCAGATTGAGACAGATGATTATATATTTGCACTGGGAATTCACAAAAGTAGATATTTTAACCCAGGCAGATTTCGCTACAAATATTTTGTGACGTCAAATTTTCTTCACTTTCATATTTGCCTGAAGTATTAACCAGCTTTTAGTCAGTTGATGAATATTTGCTTATTTCCACTAAAACAATCAAACATGCACTGTTTGGTGGAACCAAACATAACCAGTATACACATAATGTCATATTTCACAATACACAATAATCCACAAAATATTTGTATCAGTTCAATCGGTTTAAATTTGAAAAAAAAAAAAAAAGTCGCCTCTGAATATCCACAATTTCTCACGACTTGCCTTTGTTCAGTCTCCCCCATCCTCATGCTTTAGAAATAGGAAGCAGAAGTGGGCTTAGTGTCCTGGTTGTGTTTGCCATTCATAGTATTACTTTCAAAACAGCGTTGTTTATGAAAACCCTTGACACTCAGGTTTTGTTTAAGTCTGAGAGCAATATGCAAAATCAGCAG